TATGTTCTTTGAACTATGACTTTGAAATGTAAACATCTTACCCATATTTAGGTTGTGAATAACTACCTGACCCTTATTCTCTGCATTGTTGTGATATTCAAAGGGAATTAATACAGTATGGAAACTAGTTGGAGAATAGTAGAAAACACACTGTCATGTTTTTCCACATTATTTTTAGGCATCAACTTTTTCAAGCAGCCCTCAAGAACCACAGTGCCATCGCAGAGTTCATCCTCCTTGGACTTTCTGCTGACTCCCAGATCGAGGCTCTGCTCTTTGTGCTGTTCCTGGGGATCTACTTCCTTACCCTGGCAGGAAACCTGGGGATGCTGCTGCTGATCAGTGCTGACTCTCACCTGCACAGCCCCATGTACTTCTTTCTCAGCCACCTCTCTTTCTTGGACCTCTGTTTCTCTTCAGTTACTGTACCTAAGATGCTGGAGAACCTCCTGTCTCAGAAGAAAACCATCTCAGTAGAGGGCTGCCTAGTTCAGGACTTCTTTGTGCTTATTTCTGCAGGGACGGAAGCCTTTCTGCTCTCAGTGATGGCTTATGATCGCTACGCTGCCATCTGCCATCCGCTGTTCTATGGCCAGATGATAAGTAAACAGCAGTGTGTGCAGCTTGTGTGGGGCTCCTGGGGGCTGGGCTTTCTGGATGCTCTCATCAATATCCCTATGGCACTGGAAATGAACTTCTGTGAAACCTCTACCATCCCACACTACAGCTGTGAGCTACCTTCTCTCTTCCCTCTCTCTTGCTCTGACGTCTCTGCTAATCTCACTGTCATGCTCTGCACCATGATCCCGCATGGACTTGTCACTTTCCTCTCAATCTTTTGTTCCTATGTCTGCATTGTCTCTACTATTTGGAGCATCACCTCTACCTCTGGCAGAAGCAAAGCTTTCTCCACCTGCTCCTCCCACCTCACCACAGTGATCTTATTCTATGGCTCTGGTTTTCTCCGCTATTTTATGCCAACCTCACGTTCCTCCCTGGAGTTGATCTTCTCTGTGCAATACAGTGTGGTCACTCCCATGCTGAATCCCCTGATTTACAGCCTAAAGAACAAGGAGGTCAAAGCAGCTGTGAGATGAACTCTGGGGCACTTTTACAGAAAGTTCTGGAAAAATAAGGAAGGAGGGTGACAAGCTATTGGGATAGAAATATATGTAGCAAAATGGTGGGACTGAGCACTAATGAGAAATTCCCACTGGCCTTGATGTCAGGTTTGGCAAAAATAAATAAAACTGTGTAAAAAAGAAGCACAGATCTATTAGACAGTGGGTTGTGTTCAATGAAAGGCAAAGGAATGGGTTAAATATATATCCCATAATATTTGACTGTGAACATATTAATTATTTTCATTTCTTATACATAGGCATTAAAGTTGATTTGGGATAAATTACCTACTATTATATATAGCTGAGTTTTGGAAAGGTGCTGAGTCACTTTTTCTAAGTACATAAGTGCCTGACTCTTTGGAGGAGAAAGGCATAAAGAGATTATAGAGGCGCTGGCAACGAATTTAGGATTAAGGTTACAGAAAAGGAGTAGGCAAATCACTTTTTTGAGATCGAAGCAGGCCCAAATGTGTGTTCTTACAGGAAATCCACAAAACCGAGAGCTGTGGAGACGTGTACTCGTACGGTAGCATAGCAGACCTGCTTATTCCCACTTCTCGGATAGTCTTAAGAAAGTGGGACAGGAAAAAATACAACAGAAGGGCTGAGGCAAGGAACAGTGACACGTGCTCTGTGCTAATCGTGTGGCTGAGGTAACCGCTTGTACCAAGGATGATGAGGTGTGCCGCGGAAGCGCTGAATTCTCTTCAGATTGGAAAGTGGTTCATAATACCCACTTACTGTATTTTAAATACCGTAGGATCGGTATTCATGTCCTAGTCTTCATTCTTGATTGATGAATTCTATTTCATTTTCCTGATCAACCGTGGAGGGCTTTATTAATTCTATTTCTCTTTAAGAAAGCTGAATTTGGGTTCGAGGTTTCCGCCTTATAGCACTTTGTTTTCTGGTTGACGTCCACTATCATATTTACTGAGCTCTTGCGCTCTCACTGGCTTCTGCTTCCTGGCGGGGCGGCGCCGCGGCGCGCAGGCGCAGGAGGTCGGGCGCCGTCGCCGGGG